CAATTTACTTTTACATCTTATGTGGAATCAAATATTTTAGTTACTTTTTAATGAGTAAAGTGAGATTTTTAACCTAGATCATAAATCCGTTTCACCAGAATCTCTCCCTCTCTCTCTCTCTCTCTCTCTCTCCACACTCACTGTCTTTTCAATACCTGAGCCCAAGTAAAGCCGAAAAATTTCACTATAAATAAAAGTTAGATTATTTGTTTGGCATTCATTCTGTGCATAACTTCTCACGAGTCCGAGTCTATGATCTAAAAACTAAGCCTAAATCAAATGGTGTTTTACTTCAAATAGTAACTGTAAGTGAAGTGAAAGTATTACTACATTATTATCGCTATAATTCTTGAATCAAACTTCACGGCTAACTCTAAAACATTTTCTAAACTTTTACACAAAAGTTATCCATTCAATATTGGATTTATCTTCGATCACAAACAAGGTAATTAAAATGTTATTTAATAATATAGTAGTCTCAAACAAACTTTATTCATAAATTAATGTATTAGTATACATTGACTTCTAATATGAATTTACAAAACTTATAATAATTTCAAACTAATTTTACAGACAATAAACAAATGGATAGTAACATGAGAAGGGTGTCCGTGGTATGCATACTAGTATTATTCCTATTGGTGGACGTCATGGGCAGTCCGTTATCGTTGGATCCCTGTCCGGACAACGGTATGCGAAAACCGCCCCGATTTGGCAAACGTGACCCCAATGTGGACCCCTGTGTGAGAGGACCTGTCCGGAGGAATATCCGCGAAGACAAATCAATGGTGAGGCCCATGAGATACACGCTGATGGACGCCATCATCGAGCGATTAAAAAGTCAATTGAGTGCTGATTATAATGAAACCTAAGACTTAATACTTATATTATAATATAATATATTATATAACTTACTATAACAAATATTTATCAATAAAAACAATCATTTTTTGTTTTATTAAACAAAATTTGAGATAATCATAATGGTGAATGAAATTATTTATTAAATTAAAAAACTGATACTGTATATTTGTGAATCCATAGGGCGGATTTAAATAAAATTATTATTTACTCTAAGATTTATTCCTAATTTTAGTTTAATATACTACTAATCATTGTAAATGACTACCGATTGAGACAATAATAAAGAACTGTTTTATATATTTAAATAGTTATTGAATTTATTTTTTTGTGATAAAAACTTTTACTATAAATTAAAATAGAGAACACAATAAATTAAAACTTTACAAGTTTCTATCACACATTTATCTATTTAAAAATAACTACTATCTGGATATAAATATAATGCTAAACAGAGATCAACAGTAATAGTTTGAGAAAAATATAATTTTTAAAATTTTCTAAACACTAAAAAGTGCTTTAAAAACAATTGTATAAATGATTTGGTATTTAGTGAACATTATAGAGAATCTGCTTTTCATCAGCAAATGTAAAACAATAAAACTAAACACTATTTTAGACTCATTATTATAATTGAATTCAAATATAGTCAGGAGAGGGAGGGAGAGAGAGAGAGAGAGAGAGAGAGAGATTAGTGAGCTTTTAGTATAATTTAAAAATCAAAATCTATAGACGAGTCGGTTCTGTGTCTCATTTCTAATGTAATTTTAGGCACATATTCTTTAGATCATTATTTAATTCACAGCTAAATCTATGGAAAAAACTTGTTTGCTTAAATATTACAATATAACAGTCAGGTGTGGGAGGACATGGATTACAGATATTGACTCCGAGTCCAAGTCATCTAAGATTATAGCAATAAGTACCGGAATGTCTTGATATAGGAAAGTGCATTGAAATGTGTGCTCAGAATTAACTACAAACAGAATATTACACTTTCATTAACAGAAGCCTAAACTAATTGAAAATAAATAAAACAATTTGAGTCCAGATGTTAACAACTTATCTACAGATCAAAGTAATATCAATGACTTTCTATAATCTAATATTTCATTAATTTCCCGATCAAAACACGTCTAAATGTTAACGACATCTAAACTACATAAGCATTCAAATAAACAAATGAGCACAACATGGTATCACCATAATAATCATTTTAATTATACAGAAAACTTAATATTCATTACATTTCATGTATTCAAACGAACAAAAATTTAAAGATTTTTTAATATTTCAAAAATAATATCTTAATTAAAATAGGTATCAAATGCTGTAACGATAATTAGTTTTAGCGCAATACTGCAGTTAAATTTAATCATTGAATAAACATAAACTAATTAATAATTTTTCATAAATCATTTGTTTTTTTGTGTGAATTAATGTATTATAAAATGATATTAAATAACTATAATAATCATAATATTCATAGTAATATACTTTCGTAATATTGTAATAGTATACTCGCGTAAAAATGTGACAAAAAATAGTGTACAAAAACACATATCATTGCATTTCAATATCACAATCAGTACTGTATTACAAATGGTATACAAATAATTTAGTGAAAGACATTTAAAATCAATGTAATGAACGGATATTTGATTAGATTTTAAGGCATTATTATCAAAAAATAACGAAATAATGGTATCAAAAAACAAATGAATAAACATATAAAAAAAATATTGTGAAAAAAAACTTATTTACCAAACGTTACGTAAAAAAGTTATTGATTATGATATTGCGATCAATAAGTGAGAGAAAATTTGCGACAAAATTATGGCTACAAATCTTATACTCAATAAACAACAAATATATACGTGTTTTTCAGTCATATAAAAGTCAATTTGAAAATAGATCGTAAAACATCAAAATGCTTTCAAAACGCTTATTATTGAGCAACACTTTCATGGCTAACATTTATTGCAAGTAATCAAAAACTTTTAAATTTAAATTCAATCTTATTTTGTAAGGCAGTAGTGTGTGTGTAACATAGACTACCGGATAAGCGCCTGCAGTATAGCTAACTGGCAGTCAGAAAAACGAGTCAAATATCAGTAAACAATAAAAAAACTAACAAATAATTAAATGAAATCAAAATGAAAAAATATTTGAACTGAAAAACGGTACCAAAAATTGTAATTTTCATAACTAAATGAGACATAGATTGGCAAACATATGACTTAAACGCTAAGCTCTTATGAGGAACTGTTAACCGATATCTGATGGGCGCCGGTATTAGCCGTGCAGTCCTCCACGCGTAAGGCGTTAAACATGGTTTTCCAGTAGTCGGGCAACTCATCGCCGAAATGGACGGCCACGTGGTTCTTGAGGTGATCGTCAAATTTACGCTTAAAACCCGTCACGAAAACGCAGCCCTCGATGTGACACTTGAAACCTCTTTGCGACGCCGGGATCGACACCTCTGGCTGCTCGCCATCGATGGGCGCTCTGTTAGTAGGGGTCGACGAGCGGGTGCTTACGGCAGTGGTGGGCGGGCTGGCAGTGACAGCGGTGGCCGCTTTTGTTTTAACTGACGGCGCCGTCGTATTCACGACAGAGCACCGGTTCTCCTGATTGCTATCGTTAGACAGATAGCCGTTGGACGTGGATATCTGGCTCACGGTGTCGGCGCTGTCCACGAACTGCTTAAGC